CAGAACCACTTTTAAATACACATTTTGATGGTTACTCAGCCCACAACAACTGAGGCATACAGAGCAAGCAAAGCCCACCTTTCCTCCCCCTTTAGCAATCACAGAGGCACCAGACACAAATCCAATCAATATTTGGATATGAACTTCCCTACCAAGGTTTGTTTTTCTATAATCACTTTTTCTGCTTGAGCAGCACACTCAGAGATCTCCCTGTCTCAGGTGCCTTGAGAAAAGTGCACGCTGGCAGCAGAAGGAATGGCAGTTTGAAGAGTAATGTCACTGAAAAAGCAGGGGACTAGTGTCCTCACAACGCTGTGCTGACCATTCACACAGTGAACAGAATGGGCTTCCCCACTATTCCCATCACCTTTTTCCTAAAAATTCTCAGCAATGCTCTCAAGAATTGTATGGACTAACTGGAGACAAACCCTATTACAATGCAGCACCACACCCAGCCCTGCTCATGGCAAACTGGGACCAGTAATTACCTGGGTTTTATCTCACTGGTGCTTAGTCCCTATAAACACCAAAGAGGAAAGACCCCTTTCAGAATCTCAAATGCTTTTGTGGGCATGAATCCCACCACAGGTGTTTGTCTAACCCTTGGTGACAGAGTCTGAGCTTGCACAGAAGGGCATCACCCTGGCTTCATCAGTCCTGCTTCCCTGAGAGCCTGCTCTGTACCAGCAGGAGGAGAGAGGCTGTGGATGAAGGGATGGGAATTGCCAAGGGAAGCCAGGCAGGGTTAGATGCACATCAAACAACTGAAAGAGGTCGAGGAGAGAAGGAGCTTCTATGGCTCAGGAGAGGAGGATATGCTGGGGAAAGAGCAAGTAAGTCAAAGCAGTTACTGAAAAAATCTACTACAACAGGGATACACAGGGCAAGCAAAGCCACCCTTCCATCTCCTGTATAGGTCAGGGACACCACGTGGAAACCCAATCAATAGGAACCTCCCCTCCACAACCGCCGGTGGAAGACGAAGGCGTGAGAGAAATAAATGCCTTTGTAAATGGCTGGGACAGGAGGAGGCACAGCCGCCCCGCCTGGGAAGCAGGGGATGACCGGTGGAAAGGCACGGGGCTGTCACCGGCGCCCGGGGCTGTCACCGGCACCCGGGGCTGTCACCGGCTGCGCGCAGCGCTGGCACCGCGCCCTCCCTCCATTCCAGGCCCCTCCCGGCGCTGCCCTGCCCCTGGCTGCCCCCACGGCGGCCCTCGCTGACCCCACAGCGGCCCTCACTGACCCCACAGCGGCCCCTCGCTGACCCCACAGCGGCCCCTCGCTGACCACACACCGGCCCCTCAATGACTCCACAGCAGCCCTCGCCGACCCTACAGCAGCCCCTCACTGGCCCCACAGCGGCCCTCACTGACCCCACAGCGGCCCCTCACTGACCCCACAGCAGCCCCTCACCGACCACACAGCAGCCCCTCACCGACCACACACCGGCCCCTCACTGACTCCACAGCAGCCCTCGCCGACCCTATAGCAGCCCCTCACTGCCCCCACAGCGGCCCCTCACTGGCCCCACAGGGGCCCCTCGCTGACCCCACAGCGGCCCCTTGCCGACCCCACAGCGGCCCCTCGCTGACCCCACAGCGGCCCTCGCTGACCCCACAGCGGCCCCTCGCTGACCCCACAGCGGCCCCTCGCCGACCCCACAGCGGCCCCTCACCGACCCCACAGCGGCCCCTCACTGACTCCACAGCGGCCCCTCACTGGCCCCACAGGGGCCCCTCGCCGACCCCACAGCGGCCCCTCACTGGCCCCACAGCGGCCCTCACTGACCCTATAGCAGCCCCTCACTGGCCCCACAGCGGCCCCTCGCCGACCCCACAGCGGCCCCTCACTGCCCCCACAGAGGCCCCTCACTGACCCGACCGTTCCTTCACTGACCCCACAGCGGCCCCTCACTGGCCCTAGACCGTTCCTTCACTGACCCCACAGCGGCCCCTCACTGGCCCTAGACCGTTCCTTCACTGACCCCACAGCGGCCCCTCACTGGCCCTAGACCGTTCCTTCACTGACCCCACAGCGGCCCCTCACTGGCCCTAGACCGTTCCTTCACTGACCCCACAGCGGCCCCTCACTGACCCCACAGCAGCCCCTCACTGACCCCACAGCGGCCCCTCACTGGCCCCCGCTGACCCCACAGCGGCCCCTCGCCCACCCCACAGCGGCCCCTCGCCCAACCCAGACCGTTCCTTCCCAGACCCCATAGCAGCCCCTCACTGACCCCACAGCGGCCCTCGCTGACCCCTCACCGGCCCCTCACTGACCCCACAGCGGCCCCTCGCTGACCCCTCACCGGCCCCTCACCGGCCCTCACTGACCCCACAACGGCCCTCACTGACCCCTCACTGGCCCCTCACTGACCCCACAGAGGCCCCTCACTGGCCCCACAGCGGCCCTCACTGACCCCACAACGGCCCTCACTGACCCCTCACCGGCCCCTCACTGGCCCCACAGCGGCCCCTCGCTGGCCCTGGACTGTTCCTTCACTGACCCCACAGCAGCCCTTCACTGACCCCTCACCGGCCCCTCACTGGCCCCACAGCGGCCCCTCACTGGCCCCACAGCGGCAGGCCCCGCTCACTCCCTGCCGGCTGCAGAACCGAGCTGACCCCACACTGCCGCAGCTCCTCCCAGCTGCCCCATAAGGCAGCGAAGCAGCCCAGATAACCCAGATGAGGCAGCGAAGCAGCCCAGATAACCCAGATAAGGCAGCGAAGCAGCCCAGATAAGGCCTCACGTGCTGACAGGCCTGCACCTGACACCCCGAGAGGCGAGGAAAGGTGCTTCACATGCTCAGGTGTTGCTCTGAAGGGAGAAATAGAAGCAAAGGAGCCAAAAGGGGCTGTTCTGACGGTTCTGCAGGTGCAAACACTGAGCCCAGCCAGGTGTTGTTCCTGGGGCTGCCATGGACTCTGCATCACAGGGGACTTGTTGCTAACTCCTGCAGAGAATTTTTTAATGAAATGCTGCCTTAATGGAAATGTAATTTCACAGAAGGAAAAAGTGATTTCTTGTGGGAAGGTTTCATTGAAGTTTGTTCCACCCTGAAAAGGGTGGAATCTTTCCCAAAATCCAAGAGAAACTCCAGACTGGCTATGGAGCAGCATCCCAGTCTCTCCCCACCACAGACACAAGACAGTGAGTTCCCAACTGTTAGAGGTAAAGCAAAATTCATTTATTATTTGCTTGCCCAGGGGATCTCGCTGCCTTAAGCCCCTGTGCTAACGGGCTTTTATATCCTCTTGTGATCAAAAATGTGAAATGCTTCCCTACAAGGCAAACAAGCTTTAATTCCCTAAAGGGTGACCCTGTTTAGAACCACCCAAAGAATTTTAAAAAAGGCCTAGAAATCAAAAAATCACAAGGCAGGACAACAAGCAAGGGAAAAATCTTCAGTGGGAAGATGTTTCTCCCTAGGGTGATGCCCTCTCCATCTTTCTGTGCTCCTGACAAGGACACCTGTCCCTGCAGAACTTGTTCACTTCCATATCCCTGCATCTCTTTCCCTAAACGTGGAAAGGACTTTTTGCCTACAGACACTGGGAGTTTTCCTCAGCTTCAGCAGTGTAATTTTCCTCCTCCAAAAAGCCTCACACCAGCTACTGCATCATCTACTTCACGTTAATCATCACAGCTGGAAATGGACTGTAATACCATGCACACACTCATTTCTTTATATATCCATCAATAAAAATGGTATTTTTGCTTGTTTTATATATGTACACACACAAACACATTATGATAAGAGATGCTGTTACAAAAATCATAGAAATACCTGTTCACTGTTAAGAAATGTTCATTGCTGAGCAGTGAATCAGGAGAGATTAGGTATAAATTTTACAGCACCTTTCCAAAAGTGAGCATGTTTACTGGGGATAAGTGCCACTCACTGCCCATTCAGTTCTGCCTTTAATGCAATTAAAGGTGCATTCTGCACGCAGGGCTGGCTGTGTTTCACGAGGGCAAATGCCCACTTCAGGCAGACGTTCCCGTGCTAGTGACTCATGTGGCTGTGGTTTATTCCGTGCTGGAAGCGCTGCAATTAGCAGAGCCCTCCCTCCCGGCTCGCGGTGCTCCAGGGGAGGAAGGAGGATCCAAGCCGGGGCTGCTCCAGCTCTCCAGCTGCAGGGTGAGCCTTCCAGGTCCTAAACCAGAACAATGCGGAGGCCCTGCTGTCATCTCGGCACGCTGCTCGCAGTTATTCGCTCTGCACCGCAGGGAACCAGAATTCCACCACGATTCCTTTCCCACCGTCTCGATCCTCTCCCTGGCTCCTCTCCGGCCAGAAAGTGGCACTCATGTGACCCATCCCCACTACCTGTTTGCCAGGATATTGTCTCAGCAGGCATTCCCAAGCCCTGAGTCAGGAGCTAAAATAATAGGGTTTAATGTTTTAAGCAAGTGGTTCGGGAGCATAAAGCAAACAGACACTCGGGGGATTTTAACTGCTTTGTGCCTGAGCCTTTGGGGTTCATGGCCTTCAGTTTTTCCATACAACTGGGAGATCCACGCTGCTTTTAAGGTTTGGGGTGTTTTTATTGAGAAAAGGGAGGTTCTCACGTATTCCTGTGATTCTGGAAATTAGGTCTATTAAAAGCATTCTCAATTATAGAGAGGCTGTAAAACTGAAACAGCTGTAAAACTGCATTATCATAAACTGCTTAACAGAGTACTAGGGAATCTGGAAATGACTTCTTCATCCCAGTCCTTCCAAGTGGACATCTAAAGACCAAGTTCCTCTCATCCATAAACACAATTCTTCCAGCACAAACCCTAACCCAGAAATTTGTGCAACAGGTGCCATTAAAGCTGCTTTTCCCAAATAATTTTTGGAAGAGATCACCGGGGTTTGCTGAAATATGAACTAAACCACAAGAAATTCCACCTCACCATGAGAAAGGACTTCTTTCCATGGAGGGTGGCCAAGCACTGGAACTCTGTCCAGGGAGGGTGTGGGGTCTCCACAGACATTCCAGACCCACCTGGATCCATTCCTCTGTCACCAACTCCAGGTAACCCTGCCTTGGTAGGGGCTTGGACTGGGAGATCTCCAGAGGTCCCTTCCAATCCCCTGGGATTCTGGGAATGCACAGAGTTGAGCATCTCAGAAGCACCTTTAAATCCAGCACACATTTACCTGCATTCTCTGATGAACTTTCATAAACGACACATTTCTTCTACACCAACCACTATCCAGCAACTCGGTTTTCTCAGCCCTAATTCTGCACTTTTAAGTTGCCTTCTTAAGAGCATAGTTAGACTTTGCTGAAAGACATTAAACCAGCACAAGGCAGACTCGGGATGGAGAACAGCTCCCTAGGACTCACAATCTGCCTGGTTTACAGAAACATCCAGCTGGATCCCAAATCACATCCCTAGAGGAACCGACACACTCATCTGCACTCGGCCTGGCAGCTTGTGAGCAGCAGCAATGAGAGAGAACCCAAGGAAGAGTTAACCCACACATACCAAAAGAGCAAAAGGTCTAAATTGACCCAAAGCTTTCCTCATCCCTGGACGTGTCCAAGGCCAGGCTGGACAGAGCTTGGAGCAACCTGGGATTGTGGAAGGTCTCCCTGCCCATGAGATGAGCTTTAAACCCTTCCGACCCAAACCATTCCAGCCTTCTAAGCAGCAGAGTTTTGAAATAATTCCAATGCCCAGTTCGGAAGGATTCCAATACACAGTAATTCCTTTCAACATGGTGCACTGCATTAATGACAATTTTGCCCGGTTGTTGTTCCTCTCTGCCTGAAATAAAGGGATGCTAAAACAAGTGAGGTAACACTCAAGAGGGATCGCACTTCCAGACCAACACTGACACAGGCAGGAAAAAATTCCTCATCCGAAGCCCTCCAGGACCCATCCATTCTCCTGAGGACACCACATCATACCATACATACGTCTGCATTGACGTACACTCTATATTATGTTGTTATCTATGTATTTTACGAGCTGTCCACAACGCCTTATGTAACGGATCCCTGTTTAATATGGAGCAGCGTGTCCATGGCCGCGGCAATCCCGGCCGATCCCCGGCGTGCCCAAAAACACCCAAAAACACCCACTCGGCCACCGGCGGGGAACGCTCCCGAACCGCGGCGTCCGACCGCGGCACCGGGGGCTCCGTGCTGCCAGAGACCTGTTTTGTGAGGGGTGCAGGGAGGGAGAATTCCCCAAGGAACCACGGCAGCCCGTCCCGGCATCTCTGGGGCAGCGCAGGGTCACCCCCCGGCGCCGCTCCCGCAGCACGGACACCCAGCCCGCCCGTGCGGGGCCCCCCGCCCCGCGCCCGCGGCACTCACCGCCTCCGAGTCTTCAAACCCATGCAGGTACAAGTTGTCGTACATGGAGAGCCGGTGCGGGGCCGGAGGGCCGGGGAGCGCGGCGGCGGAGCGCGGTGAGGCGGCGGGGCCGAGCTCCCTGAGCGCTGCGGCGGCGCCGCCTCCCGCCGGCGCCCCCCCGCCTGCCCCGCTGCTTCCCGCCCGCCGCGCCGCCGCCCCCCATTGGCGGAGCCGCGCCGCCGCCGCCGCGCCATTGGCTGGGACGCGCCGCCGCCGCCACGCCATTGGCTGGGACGCGCCGGCCGCGAGCGCCGCTGCGCGCTGGCGCCGCCTCACGGCGCCTCACGGGCTGATGGCGGCGGCCGCTGTGCCCCGGGGCGGCCAACACGGCGGCGGACACTTGCTTATTTGTAATAAAACTGGTTTACAATAAAACAATATTGTATAGTCTAGAGGCGACTGAGGAAGGATCTCATTAATGCATACAAATATCTCCAAAATACGCTGGCGCCAGGCTCCGTTCAGTGGTGTCAGTGACAGGTGGAGGAGCAATGGCCATAAAATAAAACACAAGTCTCAGCTGGACATGAGGAAAAACATCTTTCCATGAGGGGAGCAGAGCACTGGAACCGCTGCCCAGGGAGGGCTGGAGTGTCCAGGTCATTCCCAACACCTGGACACATTCCTGTGTCACCTGCTCCAGGTCACCCTGGCTGGACTGGATGGTCTTCAGACGTCCCTTCCAGCCCAATCCTGTGATTTATTTACAATAAAATACAAGAGTTATTAAAATAAGATAATAAAATAATAAATCCAGGAGTTAAATACAGCCTTTCTTCTTCAAGACTCCAGAGAACAGCGGGTGGTTTCTAAAAAAACCATCCCTCCACCCTCCAACAATATTTGGAAACCTTGAAGCCACTAAGACTAAACAGTAAGAATTAACAGAGAACACACGCACACAATGTCTGGAAACAAGAAAACCAAATCCTAACCACCAAGAATTAGAAGAACAGAAGTGTGAACCTGATTTACAACTAAATTAAGAAGCAAAATCTCTAAACAGGTTCCTCCTGGAGCTCTACAAATTAAACTTCTGGTGTAACACTACGTGATTAAAAAGTCAATAAATAATTAAACACTAATGACAGAACTGATTTACAATTTACTTCCTACTCTTATTAAAACAATTACTTAAAATCTCATCTTCATTGCAATCTGATCCACCACTGCAGTTTCACAAACGCTTCCTATTTGTGTTTTCCATTTGCTTCATTCACTTTTCCTTCCAAAAGCTTCCATCAATTCTGCAAAATTAACACTAATCCCATGGGAAGTGTCCAACAGACACCTGAAGCAAAGCCAACGGTGTTATTCTTGTGAATATTCCCATATTCACAGTTTCCTACAAATTCAATTGAAGATTTACCCCAAAGTTATGCTAAGTCTTATTCCCAATTTACTAATTCTGATGGAGGAGGATCTTAGCTTCTAAATAGTCCTTAAAATGTTCATGAAACTCCCAATCCAGGAGTTAATTTTTGCAGCCTGTTCTACAGACTTCTTGAAGATCTGTGATGTTCCAGATTGAAAGAATCAACTACAAGAATCATTTAGTCAGCTCAAATTAAAAAAAAAAATGCTGTGAAATCACAAGATGAAGGGAAAGAAGTGAACTTCACATAGATTTGTAATAAAACATTTCAGAAATCAGGGGAATCAGATTTGATTTCCAGTCCTTACATTTCACACTGTCCTTTTTAAGACACAGAAGTTATTAAAAATACATATTTAATGACTCAACTCAAAAGGCTCCTAAAAGATGCTATAAAAATACAACTCCCTGTATTACAGAGGAATTCTAAATCAAAGACTGTTTTGAATATTATGAGGTAATTTATCCAAGAAACACACACTGAGGTGAGGGAAGAAGACACCCAGCTCTTTAAAGTTGACTGGGAAGTAATATAAATATAATAAATGTGCTGAGGGAACAGGGGGCTGAATGGAGTTGATATTATCCTGCAGGGAATTAGGGAATTCCACTGTTCAGGCCACAGGCCAGCACTACAGGAATGACCTGCTGAAAACATGCAATAGCTAAAGAACTGAAATGAGCCTTGGTGAAGTCTAACCTTTGAAAAATGTCATTTTTTGAACGGCTTCAGTTACTGCATTATTCCTTTTTTTAAATAGCATTCATTGGTGATGTTAATTGGAGCCCACAACTCCACTTTTCCAAGGGCACAGGAGATTTTGAAAGAGATGTAAACAAAGGCCACGACTCATCCAAAACTTTTAATGCCCAACAAACACTGAGGTATAACCCAGTGTAAAATATCTTCAGGCTGGAGGTGGGGGAAAGAGAAGAGCTCGGAAGCCAGAATACTTTGAGTATCCACAGTCCTCCAAAAATACTTGGCTTCCTCCAAATACTCTGCTGCCATTAGAGATTATTCACATCGTCTTTATTTTTAATTAGAGTACAAAGGAAATCTCTCTGAGACGTGCATCCATCTATCCCAAAATACCCATTATTTAGTCAGTCCTGAGCTACCCAAATGTGGGAGCACTGGGGTGTTTTTTTCCGAGGGCGTGAATACAGAACCAGAGAAAATTTTATTTCCAGCCCGATCTAATGATTCCTCAATCAAATGACAGCACTTGTGTGGTTCTTTCAGGAGCTGGAGCAATGAACTATTTGCATAAACACACTGAAGAGCTGCTGGAATAAATAAATGTGCAGGATCCAGATTGCCGAGGCGAGGGAACGCCTCGGCACCGCACTGCGCCAACCGGGATGGGAGTCAGCAACTTCTCCTTCTCCCCACTCCTGCAAATCCCTTCTTCCACCTGGGATCTCACTGAGGGGAGCAGCAGCACTGCCTCCCTTCCTGCTGCTCTGGGGGAGCCACAGCAATATTAAACCTGAAGCAGCAAAACCCCAACACAGCCACGTTCTTGACAGCCTCTCCCTGCTCTCGCATGGTCCTGGATTCCTGACGTTACTCAGGGATAATGAGGCAAAACCCCCCCAGAAGGCCAAGGCACATTAGCAAGGAGCATTAGTGGTTGCATTAAGAGCAGCCTTGGATATGGATCTGCTCCTTCCAGCACACACAGGGCTCCAAAACCCACAGTCCCCATCAGCATCCTCCCCATCAAACACAAACTTTGGGTTTCATCTTGCCCCGCCTGGACTCTGCGGTCTGCTGGGGAAAATTGCTCTCCCCTATGGAAAGCTGCTCTTGTAGATGATGAAGAGCCCATCCCTGTGCTCTTCATCAGCAAAAGAGCCCAGGGATGGATTTCAGAGATAGAAAGGGAAAGGACCATCCAAAACCAATCAGCATCCTCCCCATCAAACACAAACTTTGGGTTTCATCTTGCCCCACCTGGATTATAGGCCCTGCTGAGGAAAATTGCTCTCCCCTGTGGAAAGCTGCTCTTGTTGCCATCAGCAGAAGAGCTCAGGGATGGATTTCAGTGATGGAAAGGGAAAGGACCATCAGCAGTCTCCAGCAATCCACCTTGCCTCCATCCGTGGGAAGGAGGCCAGTTCCTCACTCTCCTAAATTACTTGGCACGGCCCCACTCCTTGCCCCTTCTCCCTCTAAAGCAATTTCCCTGCCTCTCTCCCTCCTCCTCTGTTTTATAATAGAGATTAGATAAGAACCTGGTGCAGTGACAGCAACTTCTGCCCTGGGTGGAGGCACAGCCAGGAGAACCTCCTGAGATCCCCTCTAACCCTGTTTTCCAGCAGAATGGGATTCGTGGCACTTGGAAGTCCTTGAAGCCAGCAGAGGAATAGGGATTTATTTCTCTTCCAAAAGATTGTGCTGTTTGGGATATATCCTGGCACAGAGGATTCAGTGAATTTCAGGGTTTTATTTGAACAGACTGGGTGGACGGCGTGCTTTAATCCTTGGAATTTCAAGTAATAAATTAGTCTGGTCTAATTTGACAGTTCTGGAGGAAGCGAGGTGCCACCTATCCTAAAACACATTTATCTGACACTGTTATGTAAAGGCTGCTATAATTAAAGAGTGTGAAGACTCGGTTGTCACTTCCTCTTGGTTGGAAGCACCTCCAGTGAGAGGTAACTGGGCTACATTTGTAGGTACCCTCTATATTTAACGAGCTGTGAAATGCCTCTTTCCCAGGCACTGTGGAGACCTGCAGGAAGCCAAGGCCTTCCAGAGGGTTTTTCACAGGGAAGAGAGGATGATCCCAGCTCCTGAGGCAGGCAGGGTGTGCTCCAAGGGTTTAACAGCTCCAGCCAACCCCAAATGTGGCTTCCACTGGAGAACAGGACTGAGCGGAGCAAATCCCAAATGGTGTCAAGAACAGCCCTGCGTGAGCACAGGGATCCCTCTGGAAGATGGGGAGCTTGGAATGGAGGATCCATGGGCAGTCACAGGGATATCCATGGACACCAACCCCTCTGGAAGATGGAAGGGTCTGCAGGATCCATGGGCAGTCACAGGGATATCCATGGACACTGATCCCTCTGGAACATGAGGAGCTTGGAATGGAGGATCCATGGGCAGTCACAGGGATATCCATGGACACCAACCCCTCTGGAAGATGGGGAGCTTGGAATGAAGGGTCTGCAGGATCCATGGGCAGTCACAGGGATATATCCATGGACACCAACCCCTCTGGAAGATGGGGAGCTTGGAATGGAGGGTCTGCAGGATCCATGGGCAGTCACAGGGATATATCCATGGACACCAACCCCTCTGGAAGATGGGGAGATGGGGAGCTTGGAATGAAGGGTCTGCAGGATCCATGGGCAGTCACAGGGATATATCCATGGACACCAACCCCTCTGGAAGATGGGGAGATGGGGAGCTTGGAATGAAGGGTCTGCAGGATCCATGGGCAGTCACAGGGATTTATCCATGGACACCCACCCGTCCAGCAGCTCCCAGGCTGCTGGGAAGGTCCAAAACATCGAGTCACAGCCCAGGCACCACCCCAAAAAGCCAGAGTGGATTTGTGGCTGGAATTGTGTCAGATTTCCTTGCTGGAAGGGAGATGGGAGGAGTTCTGTTTTTTAGGGAAGATCCATGTTTTTATCTGCCCTGCCAAAAACCATCTGGGCCAAAGGATTAAGCACTTGTTTTATTCCTTATTTTAAGCTCCTCTGCTTTCCTTATGAATGCTAATCAATCTCCTTAGCTGCCATAAGTGCTGATGCTGAGTTTCTGTGCAACACTTCAGCCTGCAACTGTTGGGATGATGGGAAACGCTCTCTAAAAGCCAATTACAAACTTGATGGG